CCCCAGTTAGCCAGGACTGCTGACAAATGGTTGAAAGTAGCTTGGTGAGCACTCCCGCCAGCTCCCTTAGTGCCCTTGGGTGGATCCCATCCAGCCCCATGGACTTCTGTGTGGCTGTGTAGCAGGTCGTTAACCATTTCCTCTGGGATTATGGAGGCTTTATTCTGCTCCACAGCCCTGTCTTCAAGCTCAGGGATTTGGGTACCCCAAGAACAACTGATGTTACTATTAAAGACTGAGTTAAAGAAGGCATTAAGTAGCCCAGCCCTTTTCCTTATCTTTTGTCAATGTTTCCCCCTCCGCATCCAAAAAAGGATGGAGTCAGGGACCTCGCAGGCAGCTGGGCATGGCCCAGCCATGGAAAAGTGACATGATGAAAATATGATGGGCTGTGGTGCTTTGGAATGACCACACAGACAAAAATAGCCACAACAGAGGTTTCTGGGTGCCTGCCTTCCCCTGAAGGGGGCTCCTGGCAGCCCGTGGCCACCCCCAACCAGGCCTCAGGCCCAGTGCAAAGGGAAAGTACTGCAGTGACAGCACCAACACAGCCATGACTGGCCACCTTTATTGCCACCAGCTGCCTCTGACAAACCAGAGGAGGGAGGGGGACAGGGTGCGGTTGGGGGGTCAGAGACCCCCAACTCTCAGTAGCACTGGGTGAGGCCCAGTTGGGACACAGGGTTGGGGGCCTGGGGAGGCTTCTGTCCCTGGCTGTGGTCCAGGGCAAGGCGGGCAGCGAGGGACACTGCAGCAGAACTGCTGGGGGCCGGGTGGAGGGAAGAGGCAAAGGGGGCATCATTGGTGCTTGAGGTCCTTCTTGTCACCTTATCTCTATACCCAGGGCTGATACTGAACGTTTGCTCCAAGCAGCAGTAGATTCTGGGAGAAAGAAAGAAAGCGTGGGGCTGTGAAAGGCCCTGGCAGCCACTTTCTGTTGCAGGCTGCTGTGCTCCCGGTACCCACCACATTTTGGGGAGGGAGGATGGATGGACAGATGTGGTTCTGCCAGCCCCTGTGCCTAATTTTATCCCTGGAAGGGCTCGGAGGACATTTCCCAGCCATTCCTCGAAATAACTGTTCAGCATTCCCGTAGTGGCAGCCCTCTGGGGCTTCTCCAAGACCTCCCACAAGAGGGGCTTTCTCTGCTCCCCAGGAGAAAGGGGAGGGCTCCTTCCACAGGGGCTGGCAGGAGCTGCCTGTCCCACCACAGGCAAATGTGTCCGATGCACACGCGGCATCCCGCCGGCTGGGGAAGGCAGGAGCTCCGGGTAATGCTGCCATAAAGCTGAGCGGGCTATAAAAAGTGTTGTAGGAAATTCTGGCCCCATGTTTCAGAACTGGAGAATGATGTGGTGCTGCCCTGGGGGTGCTGAGCCCAGACCCCCACACGTGGACAGCAAAAGCGGAGCTCTGTTTTGCAGCTCTGCTGCTGGGATCCCAGCTGAGCAACATCCTCCTGCCTGCAGCTGCCCAGCACGGGTCAGGGGATGGGCTTAGCATGGTGCCAGCAGCAGCAGGCAGCCAGCCTCCCTGGCAGAGGGCTCGGGGGGGAGCAGGACGGGCTCTGGGCAGGGCTGGGGGCTCCCCACACTCACCTGGTGAAACTGCACGATGATATCGGAGAGCTGCATTCTGTCCAGCAGAGGCAGAGGGAAACCTTGACCTAACCTGTCTGGAAAAGACAACACACGTGGCCACATTGGGATGAGAATCAATGGGACCAAGAGAGAGCACGGGCTGTGCAAAGCACACGGCCATCTCCTCCTCCCAACCCTTTCTTTGCCCGCACCGCTCCAGGGGCAGGCAGAGGAAATTCCTCCCAAGCTCCATACAAGGGCTGGGGGCTGCATGTTGGGACGTGCCACCCCCCCGCGCCCCTGGCAGCCACCAGCCCTGCTCTGGCCCCATGTGCTGGGGAGTTGTGAGAAGCAGGGAGTGGGGGAGAGGGTCTGGAAAGCATTAGGATGTGCGTCGTGCTCATTTTTTTCCATTGCGTTCACTGCTGGCTGCGTGTCACAGCACCGAGAGGCTCCCGCACACCACGGCTGGGCGCTTTTACTGCCGTCTCCTGCGCTCGCTGCAGGCTTCATCCACTGTTGAGGCTTGGTGAGAGGGCTTTAATTATCAAGCTGGCTATGTTGAGATGGAGTGACCTGGCCAGTGACTACCCCAACATCCCTATTCCCCCCCAGCAGGTACTCACCATTAATATGTGGGACGAGGATATTGGAAGCAAAGATGTTCATTGTGGGCTGCAGTGTTTCCACCTGGGGAGCAGAGAGAGGGGGAAGGAAAAGAGCTTTAGCCTCCAAGAGAGTGGGTACCCAGGCACTGGAGGATAATGAGGAAAATAAGCAGAGATGAGGAGCTGGGATGGGCACATGCTTCACCAGAGACCAGCAGCTTTGTCTGGCCACGCTGGCAGGGCAGATGTGTAGGGATGAGAGAGGCAGTGGCAGCTGGTTCTGCATCCTCTCCCAGGCTGAGGCAGGAGGCATCCATAGTGTCAGTGTGGGGCTTGGGTGCAGCCCCATGCCCCGTGTTGGGAGGCAGGGGAGAATGAGCCCCCTTCAGGCTCTTGCCTCCATGCTGGGGGCTCTGGTTATGGTCAGGGATAGCTCACCTGGAAATCACCAACATCTGATCGCTTCAGTGAAAGCTTCATCCTATGCAGAGACAGAAGTGGTGCTGTAAAGGCTGTCCCAATGGAGGCACCTGTTCCCAGTCCAGAGCTGCCTGTCAATGGCCATGTGATTCCCACTACCTCTGCCCTGGCTCATCCCCTCTGCACTTGGTTCCATCTTCAGGACCCCAAAACAAAAGCACACCCCCAGCCACTCCACCCCGTACTGCTCCTCCTCCTTACCCATCCATAGTCAGGTTCCCAATGATGTGGCCAGATTTCACGCTGATGACAGCGGACACGTTGCCTGTCTGGGGAGAGAGCGCAGAGCTCTGGCAGTGCTCACCCCACCTCACCCCAAACCAGACACACCAGGAGAAGGATCCTGACCAGGTGAAATGCTGTGGGACCACTGTCTGACCAGTGGCATGTTCAGTCATCTGTCAGTTTGAATATGTCTCTGTTGGGGACATGCCCACTGCACTATGACTGGGCTGGTTGTGGATGGCTTTCAACACCTCTCCTGGCAGGAGTTTGGCACCAAGGGCTCAGCACTGCTGAATGCAGCAGGAGGATGTTGCACAGCTCAAACTCCCATCTTTCCCACACTGAGAGCTCACCAACCACACCACGTCAGCCAGAGCTGTGACTGCATCAGGAGCTGCCCATCGTGAACCACAGTCATTACTGCAGGCTGTGCCCAAACTCACCAGGCTGAGGAGGAAGAGAGGAGCTGGGCTGGAGTCAGGAACAATGGCATAAGCCTCGACATCCACGACAGGTTGGAGTGAGAGACCTCCTGGTCCAATGTTCAGGAATGGGGCGGAAGGGGCAGATACCTTGAGTTTCATCTCTTTGTCTGGGTACTTCTCTTCCAGCTGCAGAGGATCAGGGAGATGGTAGGGACAGTGGCACAAACCCCTTTTCCTGGGGGACACCACCTTGCACAGAGCAAACCCCCAGCTGTGCACGGCAGGAGCCCTGCACAGGGAAGGCTGGACCACTCACCTGGGGAATAAAGGCTGAGAAGGTGGTGGTCTTCAAGTGGAACTCAACAGTCTTTGGGATCTGCAGGGAGAGGACAGTCACACCAGGGCCATGCAGCACAGCCGAGCCCATGGTGATACCAGCCCTTCATTTCTGTGCCGCGCCCGACAGCCCCAGCCCCGTCCCTCAACCCCCAGCTCTCAGTCTCCAGGCAGCTCTTTGGGGCAGCCCTCCAAGACCACAGGAGGCTGCCAGAGTTGCTCGGCAAATGGAACTCAGGGACAGCCCCTGTCCCACCTGTGCTGCTCACCATGGAGTCCGTGATTTCGAAGACCAGCGCTCCAGATTTGTGGTAGGCAAAGCTGGCTGTGTTGAAGAAATAGCTGGAGACCCCAAAGTAAACCATGCGGTCGTGATCCGGGGGCAAAGTCAGTGCCGGTGGAGAGAAGGGGACGGCGGAGCGTTGGGCCAGGGAATAGCATTCACCCTGGGAGGATGGAGAGAGGTGAAGCAGGAGAGCAGGGGGTGGTGGGACTCACCCACTGATGCAGGCTGGCAAACAGCATTTGCAGGAGGTGCCTAAACCTGGTTCCCCACTCGCCTGCAGTGATGGCATCAGCCAAGTCAAGCTTTCTCAGGGCAGTCTCTCACCTTCATTGGCACGTCCAGGGACTGGGTGGTAGCCATCGGAGGTCCCACCAAGGAGTAATCAACGCCAGCAATGGCATCTATCTTGGCTGTGACTGTAAAACAAGGGGCAAAAGCATGAGCAGGAGCAAGATGGCACAGGAAAGCAGGGAGGAGACGGCCTCTGCTGACATCCAGGCAGTGCCATGCCTGGGCTTCCCTGGGGCAAGAGCTCAGTACCACTGTCACGTGTGCTTGCTCCTGTTTAGAAGCAAAATATCACATTTCCCTCCTGACTGCTCTTAAAACCCCAAGCAGCTCCCCTCTGATACCTGGCAAGGTCTGGACGTACGGCTGGAGGTCACTGCGCACAGACTTGGCCACGATATCACAGGTCTGCAGGAAAGAAATGCAGGGAAGCTGAGCAAGGGCAGCTCTGCCAGGGGTGGCAAGTTCATGTGCCCCGGGTCAAAGCCTCAGCCGCGCTCTCAGCTTTGCTTCCCAGCACCATTTTTCTGCTTTGCAAAAAATTGTGTGCAAAAAAAAGAGCACACAATGGCATTTTTCTCTAATCATTAGCTAGCATATGAATTAAGTATCCAACTTAAAAGCAGGGTTTATACCCGCAAACATCTGCTTGCAGCAAGCTCCCCACTCCCACTTCAGCTCTGTGGAGGCCCTTGGAAGCAATCTCACATGTGCCCTCAGACACTTTCTATGCCTGTGCTGGAATGGATTGTGCTGAGTGGCCAAGTCTTGGCTGAAGCAGAGCAACCGAAGGAAGTAACACACCCCTGCAGGTGCAGGAGCACTAATTGCACCCAAAAAGAAGAGCTCACGTGAGTTCCTATAGCTCTGTGCTGCCAGGGCAGAAAAGCAAATCGCTCCACTGCTGTCATCTATGGGTGAAGCCTGAGCATTAGTTGGAGATTTAACTGCAGGCTAAACTCCAGCCCTGGAAATTTGCTGCAGGGCACAGTCCTGCAAACGGCTGAGATAATCTGCACAAGGTGTCTTCCAATGCTTTCCCCATAACGGCACAGAAAATGCCAGGTAGATCAAGCCATCTTCTGTTCCACCAGGCATCCAGCCTGCAGCTACTGATGGTGAAATGCAGAGTGGCTGTGCTACACCGGGGAGGAAGAGGAGGGAAAGAGCCTTGGGCATGGCCTTATTGGCTGCTCTTTTCTGTGCTCAGCCGGTATTTGTTGGTCTGGGAACACCCTATTGCTGCCTGGGAAGACAGAGCTGCAGGCAGGCAAACACTGAGCCCAGTGACGGGCACCTCCCAGCGTTTGAGTACTGTGGAACTGGGAGCACGAGGACCACAGAAGCACCTGCAGTCAGAGCAGGAGGCAGACACGGGCTCCCACGGGTGGGACTGGTTTGGGAGAGGGCTGTGCCCCAAGGCCTCAGTACAGCACAATCCTAGCCCCTTCTGGGGACCCCCCCTCCTTTCAGGAGGAAAAGAAGCACAAAAGGCCTTTGAGCCCCAGCTTTGCCCTGCTGCCAGCCCATCTGCTGCCGCACCTCCCAGGGGCCTTGGGAAAGCCACTACATGGCATCGGGAATAGCGCCCGGGCAGGATGGGATCTGCTGCGGGAGTGGGATTTGCCTGTTCTCCAACTGCCTCCTTCCTGAGCAAGGTTCCATCCAGGGAGGCTGCAACTCCTGCCAGTTAGCCTTGTAGCAATTATTGCTAACAGCTTGTTTCCATGTCTTCTTGCAGGTCCCCTGCACGTCCCCTTTTGTACCAGGTGCACGGTACTGGGGGCTCCCTCATGCACCCCATTCAAACAAGACGGGAAGTGTCTGAAATGCAGAAAGGAGAGTTTCTCCCCCAGGTCTTCCCAAAGCACGTGGCAGCGTGGCCCTTGAAAGGGCAGCTCTGGTCAGGTTTCCTCTGTTCCAGTGAGTTTGGCCAAGACACAAGATCTAATTAACTGACCACATGGAAAGAGAAGTCTTTGTAAACTAGGAACCAGTTATGCTGGGCTGTGGCAAAGGCTGCAGGTTTCAAATCCAGCCTGAGCCACACGAAGCTACACAGACAGCAGGTAGTGATGGCCATTCCTCCAGCTTTCACCAAGCTGACAACACAAAACTCTGGCTCTAGTTTAATCTCTACGTCTGCTCCGATCTTTCAAATCCAGCCTGAGCCACACGAAGCTACACAGACAGCAGGTAGTGATGGCCATTCCTCCAGCTTTCACCAAGCTGACAACACAAAACTCTGGCTCTAGTTTAATCTTACGCTCAAAGCACCTCAGCTACAAGGGAGAGCTAAACACCTCTAGAAAAACCCAGACCTATACCCTCCTATGCTCACGTACCTTTTTCTCCAAGAATTTCTTTAATTTGGACTCAATAACTTTATGGAAGAGGTTGTAAATCTTGCTGTGGAGAAAAAACAGAGAGGATTCCTTCTTTAGCTCAGAGGCTGCTGCAGAAATATTTGCCCGAGAAAAGGAGACACTAGAGATGCAGCACTTTTGGGAACATCATTCCCATCCCCATTTGGCATCTACCTTTGCCTCGGGGTTTACAGTTGCAAACAGATCGGCTTGTGAACCACCTGCACACAGGGCTATCGACTGCCTTAAATCTGCCTTAAACGTGCAGCCACAGCAGGACAAATTCAGACTAGATTTAAGTTCATTCAGTTGCACATCTGGATGAGAAGTATAAGGCAAGAGTCCAGAGAGAGCTCGGGCGTGGTGTGCCAGTGCAGGCAGCCCACGGGCAGAAGGGGCAGCCTCCAAGGGACTGCAGATATGCCAGCACCTTATTCCTTGCACCAGGGCCTGTAACCACCTTCCCACGACAGAAGAGCCACACACCCCAATTCTAGACCTGTACAATGAAGTTACCTACCTTAACTTGCCTGAAAGTTTTGCTCGGACTTTGGAGATGTAGATGGTGCAAGAAGATGTGTCAATGGTGGGTTTCCCAGAGGCATCGTTTCCCAGTTTCAGGTTGACTTTGATATTGACATCCTGCAACTTCACATGAAATGAACCATGGATTTTGCTGCAGGGAGAGGAGGACAATAAGGGGACATTTCTTACTGGTGAATCATGATGAAGGTATCCCAAATCCGCCAGAGTTTTGGGAAAGATCTATCTAACTCAGGCTGTCCCGTGTAGTGCGCACTGAGGGAGACCGAGGCGGCTTTTAATTCAGGGAAACCCAATTTCACTGGAACATCAACTAGGAGAGGTAGCTTTTGAATAGAGAGGACCAAGAGGAAGTAGGGGAGATGGGAGAGAGACAGGAGAGTTGAGGCACAGCTCCTCCATTGTCCACCTTGTTCTTGCCTCCCACTCTGCTGTATCAATCTCAGTGGTTGAATGAGTGGCAGCAACCTCTGCCCACCCCCAGTCCTAGCTCAGGTCTGTCCCTGTGGGCACTCAGGAAGGTGTCCCCCTGTGCAAGCAAGAGGGAAGACCATCCCTCACACCCCTGGTGCTACAAGAGGGAAGATGGCTTTCATGATGTCTTCCCACCCATTTGCAAGTGGGATAAACTCTTCCTGGCCATCTCTGAGGGCTCCTGGCCTGGAGGGAGACCTGGCTGCTCTCCCCCAGGTTGAGGGGCTCCCAGACATGCACTGAGAATACAGCAGCTACAGCTCGACTGCGGGAAAGAGAAGTCAGTGCATCTGGAGAAGGCAAAGCAACATCTGCCCAGACACAAGGGAGAAGAAGAAGAAAAATCACAGAGCCCGAGCAGGGAAGGAGGGAGCCAGGTACATACATACATTTTTTTCTTTGCCTGCCAGTTCCCATTCACATCAGCAAAGGCGTTGGAGATGGAGAGCTGTGGGCCCATGCTGGGGACCAGAGAAATCCGCGAGTTCGCCAAATAGAAATTACGAAGTTCCATACTAAAAGTAAATAAATATAAAAAAAGAGAAGAGGCTCCTGAGCACAGGTTGTTGCCTCAACCCTGCACACATGGCTGAGGATGGCTGGAGGAAGCATGGCCACGGCACCAGCAGCATCCCCAGCTCCTGTCCTGCTGTGACAAAGCAATGCCTGGCTGGGACACACAGACCAAAGCGGCACCTTTAGAAACAAGGTCGCTGCAGCCACCCAGACAGCTGCCTGGAAACCCCACGCAGCAGGAGCAGAGAGGTGACACTGGGCAGTGAGGAGGTGGAACCTCTGCAGGGGCTGGGCTCCTGCTCCATGGCATGGACAGGCACCCTGCTCCCACAGGCAAGGCCACCTCCACTGCTTGGGCTTCAATTGCACAAAATCCGCCTGCGCCCAGGGTGTGGTCACCCTGGTTTCCCTTTTCCCCTTTGGGCAGAGAGGGGAAGCAAAAGCGTCTCTGCCTGCACCAACAACAGGGCCAACATATTAGGGAGCTGTGGAGAGGACAGAAGGATCCTCACTGCTCCAGGGCC